GGAATAGTTAGCATAACAAAATATTAGCATGTACAAGTAGATTATTCAAGGAATAATTGGGGCAAACCATTTTCATTTGTTCTTCATATCAGAACTAAGAACAAGAAGCTCCCATAGAAACTGGATGTTCACTTTTGGAGAAGAAACAAATAAGGTTTTCAGGCAGAAAAAAACTTGTACTTAAAAGGAAATACATGTCCTTGATAAAGTTCATTACTTTTGGATCTTCATATATCATCTTTATACTGGACTTGCTAACAGAATCTACTTTGTATGAATTGTATGAAGTTTTCTAAAAGTTTGTTTTCAGTGCATTTTATTTTTATGCATATGCATGAATGTATATGATTGTGGGTACACACATGTCATAAAATACATTTAGAGGACAACTTTAGGAATGGGTTCTTACTGCTACCATGTGTGTTCTGGGAAGTGAATTTGGGTCATCTGCAGTGGCTGCAAGCACCTTTGTCCTTACATAATTTAAAGAGGTGGATTGTTGCTATACATGTCTCAGTTAGAGCTGAGGAATAATGTCACATCATTTCTCTGCCTACCATAAACACGCATTAGTATAGTTGATGCCTTATGAGGGTGTGACACTATTACTGGGTAGTCAGGACCCAAGACTAGATGCCATACTCTCGGTTCTTACCTGTGTACCTTTACACAATTCTCTGCATTTCCATTTCACTATCTGAGCATTTTTCAGGCCTCTTTGAAATCCCAAATTCTTCAATTCTGAATACAGTTATGGAATGTTAATAAGGAATACAAGTAATAATAGCAATTTAACTTAGCCAAATTTAAAAAGTATAAAGTCTTCTGTTATACCAAGAGAACTAAAATGATCAATATAGTCTATCTCATTTATTATAATATGGTATAGAACATACAATTTAAAGAAACTCTATATTAAGTATTTAAGTTCTAGTTTCACATATAATTCACAGAGGAAGGTTGCTGATAAACACAAACTATTAAACGTTAAGTATGTATTCTATTTCTTTAGATTGAATTTTTTAAAAAATGGAATTCATACTTAAAAGTAAACCAATATGCTTTATTTGACAAATATATAATGCTTTAAATGCTGTATATTATTAGGTTGTGTATTATTTCACTGAGAAACCTTTAGTGTAATGAATCTTCCTTCCCAGTGATGAACTGAGGATAGAGAGCAGAATACATATGACTCATGTAGGAATAGCACGTGGGTTACTTAGAAGGAACAGAGGGCTTGGGGGAGTGCACAGAGGGTTTCAAAGTAGATGAATAACATATTGTCAAGCATCTTGAATACTCAGTAAAAATGCATAATATAATTCTACAGAGAAAGTATAGCCATTATAATTTTTTAGAGTGTAGCATATGAATAGCATTTTTTGATGGAATTCAATCTGGCATTGAAATTTAGGGTAAATTGGAAGTGAACGAGTGGAAGCAAGAACGCCAGTTAAGCTAGACATGCTTAGCAGCAATGGGATTAGAATGGATCCTACCCACATTATCTGAGTGTTACAGCCCAAGTGTGAATCCAAATCATCTTTATATCCCAAGTATACATCATGTAATAAATGCATAATACTTTGTTAATATAAAATGCAATTGTTAAGATTTATTTACTTTATTATATGTATATGAGTATTTTACTCTTATAGATCAGAAGACAATGATATATCGCCTGAACTAGAGTTACAACCTATTTTGAATCATCCAATATGGGCACTGGGAACTGAACCAGGGTCTCTTCAAGAAAAGCAAATGCTTTTAACTGCTAAGCCATTTCTTCAGCCCTGATGTAAAAAGTTGACTATTGATTAAGTGTTAGGATTTCAAGGAAGAGGCAAATCAACATTTCAAGACTGGCAGATTAAAGACTAACAATGACACTAATAGACCTAGCCCTAAGATAAGATGATCAATGGAAATTTGCTCTTACACATTTTGGGGGTTAACTGAAGAAAGGGTAGATGATGATTAGATACTGAATCAAATAGAAATATGTCAGCATGTGCCCTTAAGGAATGGAGGATATTTTTTGTTTTGTTTTGAGACAGGTCTTCTTGTATCCCAGGGAGGTTTCCAACTCACTTTGGATCTAAGGATGACCTTAAAATAGGTTTGCTCTTTATTCGGTGTTAGGGAATCAAGCTCAGGACTTCATGTGTGTTGTAAAAGCACTCTACTGTTTGAGCTACATCCCCAGCCATGGAGAAAGAGTTTTGAAGAAAGCTTCTCACCCTAGATTCTCTGCTTTAAAACTGAAATGAGAAATTCTGATAGGACAAAACAAGTCTCACTGTTCTCAAGTGGCAGCTGACCTTGCATTTTTGGTAGACAGTTGCTCTGCTTTGACACAAAATTTATTTACACTTAGTTATTTTTCATAATGAGGATATCAAAGATGGCAATATTAACATTTGATGAGATTTGATGATTTAAAGCTATGCAGTAGACTAACCCACTTTAATAACCGTCATAGAGTGACAACACAGCTGATCCATAGGAAAGCAAGAGTCCTATCAGGAAGACGTTAGACTCACGTTCAACAGTGAATATATATATATATGGCTTGCCGTACACATTTCTAAATAAATGAGTGTAATAAAAATACACGGCTTGGACCAACAGTGTTTGTGGATGCATCTTAACTATTATTTGTCATCCAACACAGGCCATAATCCTATTCATCTCCTCTAGTGAGGCAGAGAAAACAGAGAGAGCTATTGCTTAATAAAAAAAAAAAGGCATCCTGGTAGAAGGAACCTGTTGTTTAGTTACCTTCCATTAAATGCTTTATAATTCTGAGAAGTGATTTCCGCCCCTGCTGAAAAACATATTATTCTAAACACCACTACCAAAGTAGTTCTCAGTTAAAATGTTTAAAATTAAATAAAATCTATGTTCCAGTTTAAGGGTCCTGAAGTTTCTGACATTGTTTCCTTGAATAATACACCAAATGTCTTCCGAGGATATTGTATCATGTTCCTCTCTTTTTAAAGAACATTGCTTGTTTCTTTTCCTTTTCCTAAGTAGAGAATTACTTCTTTATATCAGCAGGTATAAAGGTTCCCTCATGTACTGTACCGGATAGAGGTCTATAAAGAGGAGCGCACTATATTCATGGTGGAAGTGACTTCAAATGTCATCGACTCCCTGAAAACCAACCACTTTAGTAAGTCTGGCTTTAGTTATCTGCTCTGGGATCTACACTTACATGTTTATGCTCCTATGCTGCATCTCTACTTGAGAACACAGGAAAGTATCAACCATATGTTTAAAAGGGAACCTAAACCCCCCCCCCACACACACCCTGCTCTCCTCTCTTCTTATGTAAACATGTCCCATATTTACATTTGTCTTCCAAATGTACCTCATATACCCAAATTCCATGGCTACTCTTTCTCACCAGGACCCGAATCTAGACAGATTTCTCCATCCCACAATTATTGCAGCAACTGCAAATTTCAACTAAAACACAGCAGACGTCTCAGGTTTCTGTCATTAATTCAACATTCCGTTTCAACATAGCTATGTAAACAGTCTCCTAAAGTACTAAATAAGACATAACAGCTGCTGCTTAAAAAATACTGGCTTTATATATCAGTGAGAACTCTTACTTCTGAATAGTGCAACCTAGCTCTTACCCGTTCCAGCATCCAAGCTTTAATTTCATATGTTCATCTGCACCTTGCTGTGGTCATGCGTTCACATGGTTTACTTCCACTGGATAGTGCGGACTCCTGTAGCCAATAGAGTATTGTTGAGCTGATGGATAGCACAGCACCCATAGAGCTCTTCTTGAGTCATTTGTTGTGGAGGATGCCAACGGCCTTGTCAGCTACAGAGATCTGACAGATCTGTACAAAGGCTGTACATATGTAAAACTATGACAAATGATTGAACGAGTGCATTAATGACTGAATGGGGATTATGTATACATTCTCTTTCCACCATCTTAAATATATGCAAAGAGTAATGACTAATATAATTTAATTATATTATCTCCTCCATTTAAGAAACAATCCCTTTGGAGACAACAGTCATTTCAAAAGGGAAAGCCTCTGCTAACCACTGTCATATTTGCCTCACAGAAATTTTTACTCTAAAGGTGCATTACTATTTACCCTCCTTTAATCTTCTTAGTGTTTTCCTTTCCTCTACAGACTTGAGGTTTTTTCTTCCCAGATCTGATGAGACTAGACTTGACTGCAGGTTAACAGCAACAAATCAAGGGATCAACTTTATTAGATTGCGTGGAGCAATGAGAAACTAGTAAGAAAACATCTTGCTTTACCCCAAAGCAATCTTTGATTTCATATGGCCATCAGGGGACAATTAATGCCCCACGCTGCCCCCCACCCACCCCATATTATAAATATAGAATTGAGTGGAGAATTTGGATTGTAGCTAGTGAGAAGGATAAATCAGCTTAGGCAAAATCCTTGTTGTGTCACAGAGTGAATGAACATCACAAAACTGGCCACTTTTGAATATGACTAGGCAGTTGAAGCTTTAACTTACAGGTACTGTGGTACCAAACATTTTGCTTTCTATTGAATTAAGTCAGTACAAGCTAAGTGGGGACTGAATTTGACCCTTGTTCTAATACTTTGTGAGGAAAATCGAGAGATGGATTTTCTAGCGAGAATATGGTATGAGATGGCTTTTTTTCTTGATTGTGTGGTGCATAGATATAATTCTGTATGTATGACAAACAGGAATGATAATGTGCACTTTCCCAACAATCAAGTTCAACTTAACTTTTCAGTGTGGAGATAAGAGCCATTTCCTTCAGCTTTCCAAGTTGTAGTGCTAAGTTTATTTTTTTACCTTGTACAATGTAAAAATAATTTATATATTTCATGCCTATTGTTACCATATATAGAAACCATGAATAAATGTTATATAGACTTACACTTAGACTGTTTTCTAAACTGTAGTTTTATATACTGTCTTATATACTGTTATGGTGAAACACCATGACCAAAAGCAACTTGAGGAGGAAAGGGTTTATTTGGCTTACACACCCTGAATCACACAGTCCACGGAGGGAAACCAATCCAGGAAACCAAACACTACAGGAACCTGGAGACAGGAGCCGCTGCATAAGCCATGGAGGAGGTGCTGCTTACTGGATTCTTCCTGACAGAAAGCCAGGGATTTGGTAGCTGTTCAGTCCATGGGACCAGATATCACAGCAGTCACATTCAGGTGCCAAAGTCCCCAGAAAGTCCTAGAGACCTGCTGCTTTTCAATCCAGGCTGGAGGCTGAAGAACTCTGTTCCAGCACCAGCAAATGAATGCCTGCAGAGACTGGATGGGTGGACTTGTCAGTGAAAGTGAGGGCAAGCAGGCAAAAAGCCAAAGTTTCCTTCTTCTTTGTCCTTCTATGCAGTTGTCAACAAAGGGTGTGCCCCAGATTTAGGGTAGGTCTGCCACCTCAAGTCCAACTAAGAAAAATACATCACAGGTATGACTCATTGCACTTGTAACCAAGATTAGCCACCACTTCTATCTATATAGAAACTTCAATTATAACTCATATTTAAATGAATATAATTTTGACACATGTAACTTGAAAACAAGGCAAAGACCCTCAAATATAAGAATTGCACCAAGCTATAACAAAAATGTTTACATCAGTAAAGCATTTGGGTTTTTATGTGTGTGTCAAGCTAAAATATAAAATGACAATTATATCTGTGTACTCAAGTTGCACTCAATAACTCTGTATACTTGTAGAGAAGACAGGAAGCTTATAATGTATTTTTTGGCAGGAAATTTCTCAGATGAATGAGTGCTAGGGTAGAAAAGTACTGGGAGGTTTTTAGATGCTTTCGTTTTCTGTAATCCTAGTCTCTCCTTCAATTTTCAGTTCCAACAGTTGCACCTGCCCTCCCCTGTTCATGCCACTGCTCTTCATAGTACCTAAGGAATGGAAACAACTCAAGTATTTATTATGAGTGACAAAGAAAAACACAGGCCATAAACACAGTGAAATATCGTTCAGCAATAAAAGAACAAATTGTCTCATAAAACAATAAAAAAGCACAGGCTTAACCGGAAGCTGTGTCAAACAATATAAGGTAGGCAGAGAAACATAAGCATTACTTGCTGTAACTCATTTCTTGAATCTAAAAAATCTGGTCTTGAAGAAGTAGAGAGCTGGCTCTAGAGGCTGCGGACAGTAGGGGTAGGGGCAGGAGGCGCAGAGATTGATCAGTGGTAGTAAATTCTAGTTAGAAAAGAGTAACACTTTCTGATAATGCTATTGCCCATTAGAGTGTTTGTAAATAACCATACTATGTAATGTATTTCAAAAACTTGGAAGAGAGGATTTTGGAATTTTCACCATACAGAAATGATGGAGATTAAATACAAATGGTTTAAAAAGCGCACAGTGTGTGAATTTGTCAAAACATGATGTGGTACCAAAATGTGTCTTTGTATGATTTTCATCTGGCTCTTAAGAGGGAACTTCAAAGTTAAAATAGAATTCATATAATATCCTTGAAAATATTCGTATATAATATATATTTTACTCTAATTTTTGAATGAATGGATTTTCCAAAAACACAGACTATTATATTTCTTGTTATACATCTTAACTATAGGTGTGTTGGTACAAAGACACATACCAGCCAGCCTAAGATGTGCTCGTAGCACAGGGGCCACAGATTTATAAAAGTCTTGCCATTACTCTATTGTCTTAAAGTAGCACAAAATTATCTTATGTACATACTTACTGTCCAAAGAATCGCTAGTCAGTGATGGCTTCCAGTAGGTAATAACCAGTAAAAAAAGGGAAATGCTCCAAGTGAGAGATTCATGAACAATACAATTCTGATATACTGTATAAATGTTGCCATGCCTGGATATATTTTTGTTAATAGAAGTTTTATATTAAGAATATTTCATCGGGGAGGGGAGGTGGTACATGCCTTTAGTCCCTACACTTGGGAGGCAGAGGCATGAAAATCTCTGAGTTTTTAAGCCAGCCTGCTCTACATGGTGAGTTCCAGGAGAGCCAGACCTTCATAGGAAGACCCTGTCTCAAAAAACAAAAGAAAAAGGAGAAGGAGGAGAAGGAGAAGCAGAAGCAGAAGCAGCAGCTCACTTAGAAACTCATTAATATATTTATGAGTCACATAGATTTTTATGAGGAGAAAAATGAGGTTATGCGTATTTTGCCAGTCAAAAATATGACAGACTTTGAAGATCCCCCATGGAATGCCTCAGCCTCCCTGGGAAGCAGAAAGGGGATGTGGGAGGTAGAAGGAACTGGGACTGACATGTAAAACAAGCTTGCTTCTAATTAAAAAAATAGAAAAAATAATTTTTTATAGTTTATGCATCATGAGTGTTTTGCTGTTATGTATGTCTGTAAACCGGGTGTATGTCTAGTGCCCACAGAGATCAGAAGAGTGTTAAGTGAAGCTTTTTCTTTTGCTAGCCGCTTTGGTTTATCCCCCGCCAGTCGCCTGGGCTCTGCCACTCCAGCCTGGTTCTAGAGCCGCATCAGTCCCAAATAAACACACAGGAGGCTATATTCATTATGAAGCTGTTGGCCTTGCTTGTTTCTAACTGGCTAGCTCTGACTTAAGTAATTACCCCATAATTGTTAATCTAAGTATGTCTCTTACCGGAGAGGTTTCCAGGCTTCCTACCCCAATGGCGGTTACATCTCGAACTCCTCTGTATTTCTCCTTCCCAGAATCCTCCTGGACTCCTAGCCCCACCTATCTAGATTCCTATTGGCCAGACAGTCTTTATTGACAAATGCACAGGACTTCCCCCAACAGAAGAGGACGTCAGATCCTCTTGAACTGGGGAGTTACAGATGGTTGTGAGCCACCATGTGATTGCTGTGAATTGAATCTGGGTCCTCTGGAAGAGCAGCCAGTGGTCTGAACTGTTGAGTTCTAGGCCTTGGATAACTGATTTTGAAAGTCAGTCATCTTGCCTCTGAAACTTTTTGGTGTATCCCGGTGATCTAGAAAGCCAGGCTGTATGAGTTGGAACCCACCGAGGGCAAGCTGGACTCAGCATGGATTTGGTGTCCTGTCAGCCATTCTCCCACAGTTGGGCTCCCCTTATAGTTCTTGTGAGTTTATGTAAAAAGAATGAAATTACTGTTCACTACGAGGTCATACTCACTAGTGATCAAACTTTTAAAAATATCCCAAACTCCTACTACAAATGAATAATTAAATGATCTATTGCCAGTGAAATTTTCACTGTAGTAGAAATATTAAAAAATGTATCCCTATTTTAACAGAAAACTAAATCGCTAATACTCTTTAAATTGGGTTATTTTAGACTTTGAAAGTTAAAATAGTACTCTATATACCTTAAAATATTTTAATAGATGTCGAGGGGAAGCTGTCATCTCTATTCTGACTTTGACTATTGATGGTGAGCCTCTATGTTTCTTGTGCTTTCTTCGATATATATTCTAGATGTTTCTCCATATCTTTCTTTGAATATGTAATCGCAATTGTTAGATTTCATATTTGAACTTTTAGGTTAAAGAGTCTTTGAGTAAGGAAAAATAAGTTTCTGTTGTAATTACCAAAACTCTAAGATATGAGCGACTCAAGTCACCTAATGTTTACTCTTGACACATGCTGCTTTTCATCTAGGCTTAGCTGAGGTCTCTGTACTGCCCAGTCAAGGAAACAGCCAGTAACTGCAACATTGATGTTCAAGATTAAGACTCTGAGTTTATCCTTATTCATTCCAGAATCCTTATATGTGTGGATTGACTTGCACACTGAAGATTTCCTAAGAACCGACTCAATACTCTACTTTCCAGACCATTTACAGATGTACACAGGGGATGAAACTGAGTCCGTGAGGTAAATGAAGCCTTGCCTTTTGTTTTCATCTCTCACATGTAAATAAGTGTTCCCTTTCCAGTCTCATTTAATGTCAGTTTCCCACTTGTGCATGAGTTTCACTGGGGATTTGCTAAAATGTCCGTTGCTAAGCACAAGGAGGCAGCCGTGGGCCTTTTAGGGAAAAATGCATGTGTTAGGTGAATTTGTTCACACGGGAAATGAGGTTGATGCCCATGAGTTCAAAGTTTAATGAGTCAATAAAAGATCCAGGAAAAAAAAAGATGAGGCTATTTGACAATGTTAATGGAGTCTAAATATACGCAAAGTGTGGGGAAAAAATGTGAAATTTGTAGCCAATATGGAAAAAATAGAGGCTAGCACTGTTGTCAGGATAAAGACCAAGGAGATTTAGAGACAAATTGTTCTAGGTCAAGGGCATGTCAAATATCTGTTGGCTTTCTTTGTCTTATTAGGAAATATTTAAATAACCAAATATAAATAATTGTTTCTAATGTATGCCTATGTAAAGACACTAGTTAATAATCTTTAAATACATATAAAACAAGTGTCAGTGGTGGCACTGGTTGATTGATGAAAATATGTGACTAGAGTCTCATAGGTACCTAAGATTATGTTTCTCCCAGTGGCAGTGATTTAGCATGTGCTATTTCATTGTTTATGGAGACATGAGAGAACACAACCATTGCATGAGTACTGACTATAAGTGATATATCTTAACAATAATTTCTTTTCAAGTCTCAATGTACAAAGCAAGTCACAAGTACATTACTGGCTTCAAGGGATAAGCCAGCACAAATTCCTACTGGAGAGATAATTAATATATTGGCAAATTTTAGTGCATGTACCCAAAGTGGTCTGGAGTAGCCACAGTTCCTTCAGGAAAGGTTTCATTTTTAACACTGTTTGGAGGTATCTGTTGTCCTACACACTCACTTGAAAATTTTAATAATGTGTCTAAAGCAATTCAGATACAGACCCTCTCCAATAATACATGGCTTCCTATAAATACACATTCAAATTAGGAGAATGGTTTCTTTCAAAATTCTCTGTGGGACATTGTTTTATCTATTGTGTTTTTTTTCTTTTGACTTTGGATATTATTTCTGTGCCCCAGGCAAAATAGTTTACTGGAGGAACATTGTTTCTTTTAAGTAAAATTAGATTATTTCCATTGATGTTAATAGTAAATAATTAACTTTTACTGTAAAAAGTTAAATTTATATTTATTTTAAAATATTGATATGGGTAGGGTTTTAGATTTAGTATTTTGAAATATGATAATGTGTAGGTAGCTTTTCAATCTTGATGTGGAAATAGATCTGGGCTCTGCTATTCATTTAATATATTAAGATCATATCCTCCTTATCTTAGTTACTTTTCTGAAGCTATAATAAAATACTATCATCAGAAGCAACTTACAATAGGTAGAATTTATTTGGATTTATAGTTCCAGAGGAACAAGTCCACCATTACGGGGAGGCACAGCTGCAAGCAGCAGGCATGTCAGGAGGAGCAGAAAGCTGAGAACTCACATGTCAGTCACAAGAACAAAAGCAGGCATCCAGTGAAATACTTCCTTTAGGCCTACCTCCTGAATCTACCCCAAGCAGTGCCACCTACTGTAGACAAATGTCAAATTCTTGAGACTGTGGGGCACATTTCTCATTAAAATAAAACAAAACAAACACAACACCACCATCACCAATAAAGAACCTATACTTGTCTAGGGAGGGAAGATAGTCCAGTATCAATCTCTGTTCTCTAGCTGAGAACTTAAGTTTACTCTGTCTCTTTGTCCAATCAGTTACTGCCAGTTATACAACTCTCCCTTTAGCTTTAAACTTTTACTTAACTTCTCCTAGTTTTTATCCAATCATTGTATTATATATTTTGGAGCTATATTCAACAAGTAGATTTTAAAGCTTATATGTCATTTTCAGCTTACATGAAATAAACTAATCCCTTACATTGTATTTTTAAAATAATAATTTATATGGTGTAATTGATGCCATAATTTTAGTTTTGATTTTTCTAAAATTTTATTTTTATGTCTGGTAGCGTTTTGCCCTTTATTGGAGTATTACTACTTTGGCATTTTAATGAGTTGCTGACATCTTTGAAATTAAATTTTCCCTCACACCACATACTTCCTTGATCTTCTCCCCAAAGATGATACTATGGATCCCCATAGGACAGGCTCTGACTTTTAAAGTGCTCTGGTGATTTTTCAAATACCAGTCCTTTGTGTCAAGTAGGATGCTTAATGAGCCCTTTAGAAGAAGTCCCCTTTGTTTGGGTTAATATAGAAGAAATCATTTTTTTCTGCCTCTGGGGACTGGTAATAATTCACTGTCAACCTTTGTCAAGGAAACTCTTCTGAGACGACTCAGTCTTCTCCTTTTTAATATTTGGGCGAGGGGTTGACCTCGTAGGACCCAAGAACTGTTTTTCATGCTTTCTCTCAGATGAATTAACATCTCACTACACGGTGTATGGATACTTGGCACCTGCTGTGTAGTCCACAGCCTTTGGGGACAAAGCCAAAGCCAAGGGAGAAAGGTCATCATTTTGAGCTCGTATTATTCTAGTGTATAGAAAAAATTCTGGCATTTTTAGTTTTTTTTTAAGTATTGTACTTTAAAATATAAGAATAATGTGTTTCCTATAATACCATTTGTTAATATTGAATTACTGTAATATTTTTCTGTTGTGACTATAAAATGGCTTTATAAGATTTTTTAGAATGGATTTCATTAAAATTAAAAACTGAAGCACTAGAGAAATGGCTCAGTGGTTAAGAGCATGTACTTTTCTTCCAGTGAACCCCTTTAGGTCCCTAGTGACCTTGCTCAGTGGCTCCTAAGCACACATAACCCCTGCTCTAGGGCATTGATCGCTCTTTTATGGCCTCCAAAGCTACTGCACCCACATCCATCTCCCAGGACACAATTATTTAAAAAGAAAATGAAACAAAAAGGGAAATTACAAACGGAGCCATTGGGATTGATCAATGGGCAGAGATGCTTGATGTACAGTTCTTTATCTGAGGTGAATAGATGTTTGCTCCCATCTTCCGAGGCTTAGTGTCACAAAAGATTCATCTTAGCAACAGAATAAAAATATATTTCTGTGAAACATTTAAATTACTATGTTGCTGAGTATATTTTCAGTGGCCTCTCTCTGCCTCTTTCCCTTGCATATGTACACATATATTTGAAATAGATGAACTGTCCTTGATGCTATGAGACCTCTTCTAGTTCTTTTGGAGTCCTTTTGCTTGGATTATTAAAATTACCAGTTCACAAGTTTATATTTAAATTCCTAAGAGAAGGAAAATTTTTGTTCTTTGTGATAAGTGATAAGCTATTTGATTTTATTAATGTCGAAGTAATTATGACATGTATTTGGAATTTATTTCTGGATACTAATTAGTAAACATGAATTTGTTTGCTTTTACTCAGTTCTTCAGTCTATGAAAGCCTGTGCACTCTACTAGCTTTCTGTATTGTTTACCAGAGTACAGAAGTAACTCTAACATTACTGTTGAAATATTTGGAGTATAGTTGCCTACCACCGCTGGCTAATTTTCTCTCATATTCTGCTCTCTGAAGATGATGAGCTCTACAAACACATTTCCTAACATTTGTAAGCTGAAGTGGCTTTGCCCTTCCTGCCAATCTTACATTGATCCTATACATACCCTCCATTTCTATCGACCATTGTCACCTTTAATGCTTTCTCAGGGCCCCAGGGAATGTGGGCACAGGTTCCCTTCAATGTGAAATCTATTGACTAGGCAGATGAAGGGTAAATTGCAAACAGG